CTCCATTTGTTGACAAATTTTAAGACCATGGGGTCGGAAACAGCGAAAACGTCTCGCTTCCTCTCCCCTTTTTAATTAGAAAAAGGCTTACCTTTGTTCAGCTCACCGTAAAAACATTGATCTTCCCTCAGATCCCTGTTAAAAGGCCCCTTCTTCATTTTGACTCCTACAGAGAACCCATCGTAACTTAACCCACAATGAAAAGGTACGTCCTCATTCACCCCACAATGAGAAGGCTCGTCTTCCTTCAGCTCTGTTTAAAGCAGTCCCTGTGCGAGCTCCACAAGTTGATGATGATGACATTTTATTTCAATAGGGTGCTTAATTACAGTCAAGGCTCTAGTCTCCCTTGTGGCCCTACATATGAAACTAAGTTTAACAGACTAATTACAGGAAGCTTAAACATAACAACTACTAGTTCAATGCTTATTTCATTCTTTCCATCCGAGGTCTGATAGTTGTATCTCATACTTCGTTAAATAATCCTTCAGCCAGTGGTCTATTTCCACTGGGCTTCGATAGATGATCTTTGTTACCATTGAAGAACTTTGCCTTTCCTTCCACAATTGCGCGTAATTCCCCCAAGCCTGGCTTTTTACGTTGAAATTTGGTACCAATCCCCGCGCCAAAACATACCAGAAATAGGTATTACGGCTAGAGGAGCTAGGAACGATTGTCTTGTCCAATTCAAATACCAAATGGAACAGAAATTTCCGAAATTTCCGGACTAGTTCGCCCGAGAGGTTGAGCGAAATTTCCAAAACGGATGCTCAGAAACGAAAGCTTCTATACCATTCCATTTTGTTCCGCAAACTTTGTTTAGTCCGAATGGAACGTGACCCCTCTTCAAGTCAGAAACCGGGAAATGCCCCAGCGAAATGTAACATCTGCTTAGTGACTATTTTTATCTAACTCCCATGCAGTAACAGATATAGGATGTCATAAAAAGCTTATTTCACCAAGCGCAGTTGAGAACTTTTGGACATTTTGAACAGTTTCCTGAAATGTTGGCAAGTCCCAGGACGGGAGAAAGTATGAAGTGAAGGTTTGTGAAAAAGCCTTTTTCCGTTTTTCATCGTTTACGTGTGGGTAGAAGGCCAAAATATGTTACAGTTGAAAATCTGAAAAATGGGCAAGTTTTTAACTCAATTTGTTTTTAGCACAAAAGGAAATTACATAAACACAGTAATAAGCTTCTTTTCTTATTCACATTAGAAACAACAACGTGACAATCTGTCAAAATAATAGGATCTTTTTTCTATGCGATTGCTGCCATGTACCAATCACCATACGAGGAAACTCTTAAGTTGAAGGGAGCTCTGATGACCAAAAATTGATTAACCTATTGAGTTGGTATATTTGAATAACGAACAAGTTAAAAATTGAATCAAGATGCTACAGCTCAGCTTATGATTCAAGCCACTGAACCACTCTGCAAAGCTTCTCGCTTGAAGTAAAATTTCTAGCCAGTTTTTGCAAAGTTCGACGTGTTGTCGTAAACATGTTTTCATTATTTTTCTGCTCAGCCCTCGTGTTATTGGATTTCTTGATCCTGGAGGCACAAGGTAAGGTTCCTTCATTCAGCGTTCGAGAATATTTCTCCGGTTTATCGTTATTTCTGACGATGTGCAAAAACACAGACAATAGTTTTTAGTGCCCTCGGAACATTTTAAACCTTTTTTCACGAGCCTTTTAGTTCTGTTTTGGCAATCATACTCGCATGATCGTGGATGCTAAAACTAATGAGCGTTCAATCGCAGTTTAGTTTTCTCCGCAAGTTTTTAGTGCATGTGGAAAACGATATAGTCAGCTCATATTCGATAAATTTGTCGCCCTTTATGATACGTCGTTGAGCAACAGTTTTGAACGTACAAACTTGTGAAGACATAAGATTTGATTGCGTTCCTTGGAGATCATGATCAGGATCGGGATCTATGATCCAAGATCACTCGAATCATGGTGCATCAAATTAAAGGAGCCGATAAATCCTTGTCCAGTGTGTTTCCATCTTGTTTTTATTGGCACACAGTGATTCGAGAAATCTTTGATCCTGACCGGTTTATCCTAGATGAATGCACACTCGATCATAACTGAAATGTTTTCTCCGAGGTTGCATGAAATCCTTGTTCATTGATATTAACAATCCTTGGGAATTGCCCTGACTAGAGTTTGCGCAACATGAAACAATGAATGTTTTCATGAATAGCCTCTCTTACGAATTTAAGTAAGAAAACTGATCTAAATTTTGCACAAACTTTGCCAAACGTTAATCGACAGTTTCTGTGAAATAACCCTTTTCACGTAAGGTTGTCCCTTCTCATTTGCATTACAATATAATCCAACTTGGATGTGAGGCAATTTCGAACTATTTTGTAGTTTCAGCCCCAAATTGTCTCGCATCCGCGTTGGATTACACTGTGATGTAAATGATAAAAGCTAACCGTAAAAAGGGCTATGGGACAGATTTTTACAATAATTAAGGTAAAATGGCATAGCCGAGAGCAAGTTAACGTTAGACACTTTTCTCTTAAACAGGTGGTTTTGATATGCCCATGGAAATTTATTAAACAGCTGTCGTTGCTTGCAGTGTTTTGTCAAAGCAAAATTAATAAAATTCGTTGTTTATCCACCTTGACAAACAATCATTACACTCATAGTCCGGCCCAGTCCCTCTCACAATGCAGTCCAGTCTCCCCGTTCTATATAGAGCGGGAAGACTGGGCTTCATTGCACTAAACTGTCATTCGTAGTCTTCTCGATTTGAATAAAACAATAAAAAGTACACATGACGAAAAAACAAATAGAATGGAGAGTTTATTTGTTTCCCTCATTTTGCTTTAAAAACAAATTTAATATAAATAAGTAAGAGATTCACAGGCATTATTGACATTTAAAAATTTGCGTTCTTCAGGTCACTGTCGTAATTTGCGATTCATCATTGATCCAATACCTGGTTACCAGTTGGAGAATCACGTAATACGAACTATTGACGTCAGCAACGAGGATATCTGCCGACTGCAATGCTACCTGGAGCTAAACTGTGTCAGTTATAATTTTAACAAGATGGAAGCGGCAAATGGGCAACACAAATGTGATCTGAATAACGCTACTTATGAACACGACAACGAACACTCAGGCGACCTCGCGAAGAACGAAAATTATGTGCATCGCGGAGCTGAGGTAAACATAAAACCAGTTACAGTATGTAACTTATCAAGTTATTATATAGACCTTTTCGGCCAATATTTTTCGTGGGGATTGTTTTTGGGCAGAATTTACGAATTGCAAGGCGGTCTAGGGCTTTCAAGACTGTCAATCGAAGTGCCAGTCTTTCATCTTGGATTGTGGATAAGGTTTTTGTAATGTGTATTTACTTCAGTTCCGATTAGCAAAATCCACCAACACTCTTTATGACGTCATGCTACAGTTTTTGACTTAAGTTCGTAAAGTTAGTAATCTTTGTCAGAGGCGGTTTGCAAACTGGTTTCTCTTACTTTTGCATTTGTCAGTGATCCGAATTATTATTTCGTATTAATTAAAATGATTAAGAATAGTTTCTTAATCAATCTTAATCTTTTCATATAGTTTATTTAATTTCCAATAATCAAAGATTACCACACCGCCATAAGCACTAAGTAAGTTAAAATACATGGATTTTGCTACTTGGGCGTACTTGGTCAGGGGGTGTAGGTGTGATTAAAAACTCAAATCCCGCCAAATCATTACTGGATACTTTTTGTTTTCTTTTCTATTAAGAATGTTTGTGCAAAGAAACCTTGCCAGAACAACGCAACCTGCCAGGCCGGTTTTACAGACAGGCCAGGTTTTTACGGTTTTATTTTTGAATCCGCAACTTTTTCTTTCCGGATGCGGTTCCGTCCACACGCATACGGCGAATTCGGCAGCGAATCCGGATATTTTTGCCACGTGTGGACGGGGAAATTTTTGAATCCGGAAAGAAAAAGTTGCGGATTCAAAAGTATCCGGATACGTGTTGACGAGGCCTTAGTGAAAAGGAGTTTAGGAGGCTTAAACCGGGAGGAGATGGGGGAGGGTGGGGGTGAGGGAGTTGACACAGGGATATAAATTAATGTTGTTCTTATTAGTATAGGTAATCATACGGTTTCGAGTTCAATTTGGAATTAATTTGCACGAGTGAGTTTTTCAAAAAGCGGAAATTGCACGAACCGCTTCGGCGAGTGTAATTTCAGCTTTTTGAAAAACTCACAAGTGCAAATTAACTCCAAATTGAACGAGAAAAACCGTATGATTACTTATTAATAATA